ATCTTATGCGACTACTGATTTTGCCACTCAAAGACTCGGGCCATGGAACAGCCAGGATTTAAAAAAAGGTAGCCACTGTCATCTGCTCATTCATTGTTTTAAAGATCATGTTTCTGACCACTGCTTTAATAAAGGGTCTTACCATGGAGACCAAGCTGACCTCAAATTGATAACCATCCTGCGCACACCTCTGGAATTATAGGCACATACCATCATGGCCCGGGTAAGCAGTGTTTTTTTTGTTTTGTTTTGTTTTTCTTTCTTTGAGACATGTTCATGTCTCCAGTTCATGTAGCCCACAATGACCTTTAACTCCTGATCCACCTCCAGGGTGATGGGATTAAAGGTAGAGCCCAAAACCCATCTGGTTTATGTACTAGACGTGGACCCCAGGGCCTGATAAATCCCCAGGAGGCACTGCACAGACAGAGCTACAGCCCCAGCCCCTGGATAGTATGGCTTGAGTATCACACTAAAACTGGAGAAAGGTTAAGAGCATGTACAGCTCTGCAGAGGACCTGAGTACAGTTCTCAGCACCCACATCAAGCAGCTCATAATTACTCCATTTTCTAGGGCATTTGGTGCCCGCTTCTGGCCTCTGCAGAAGTGGTCTTGGGGCAGGGGCACCCCAAAATTCATAAGTCAAGGAGGTGAGGGGGAATTAGCAAAGCTGTAAGGAAAGAAGAAAGAAGAAGTTTCAATTAAGTTCCTAGGCTGGCAAAGAGATGGAGCGGAGACAAAGTGAAGGATGTTGCCCATTAAAGAGGGGAATTAAAAACAATGGTCTGATACAATGACAAATAGATGATACAAACCCTGTGACTGACCCCAGGGTCTACGTCAACCAAACGAACACCAGTCTCAAAGAAAAATTCTACTGACATGACTTGGCTACATCTAGATGAAACCTTTCTAGATGAAAGGTTTGGGCTCCAGAGGAGGAAAGGTGAACATTACTGTGTGCATGCCTAATCTCACACTGACCCCCAAACCCTGTTAGATGTGAGGCAGATGCGGTAAGCCAGCTGGGTCTGAGAACAATTTTGGGAACTGTCAGCAAGCTGTAGACTCAGGGATGGACTGTGGGTCTCAAACTCCATGGACACCGAAAAAAGGGAGAAGGGACAGAACCATGTATTTTTCTTTTGTAAGTATATACATACATATCTAAAAATTTTAAATTTTTATCATGTGCATCGAATGCCTGCAGAGGAACCCCTGGACTTGTAGTTACAGACAGTTGAGAACTGCTGGGAAGTGAACTCAAGCTTTCTCCAAGTGCTCTCAACTGCTGAGCCATCTCTCCAGCCCCTAGGCATACTTTCTATAGCTTCTCGGTGCCCTCTCAATGGCGGAGAGGACGTATTATAGGGAGGTCAGAGAACACGTCCAAGAGGACAGTGGTGGGACTTCAGCCCATGGGTGTGTGAGGGCCACCCCGAGAAAAGATGCTCTGGTCACCACAAAGGAAGCAGGAGCTCCATCCTGACAAAACCCTCAAGATCTAACAGGAGAGACCCAACACAGAGTGAAATGAAAATCCATGGTACATGATCCTAATCTGACTGAAGAAAGACTTTTAAGAGTAAAAGTGACCCAAAGACAGAAATAGTGGGAGAAGGGCGCTGTGGGAACTCTTAAAAACATATTCACTCCAACCAGCACTTACAGTAATCCTATGGTACATGTGTCTTTTCTAGATCCAGCATTAGGAGCCTTTACAGGCTAGGTGTTCAATAATGTTATTGGAATAAATCTGTTCACTATGGCCACACATTGCCAAAGGTGTTAGAGAAGGTGATTCATGCCACATACTGGCTAACATTCCTTCCAAGAAACAGATCCTGAGATCACAGAAAACTAAGAACAGACTAGCTTCCCCTGGAGACATAGTCATTCTTTGATTCTTTAAGACCAACTTGAAATTCAGATACAATTGTTTAATAATTATTTCTAACATTCCCCTGTAATATTAACTCGGACTGACAGATATTAAGTTTGAAGGGTAATTATTTTCACCTCTGCTGCTTTTGAACACCACATAACTGTGTTTAAAGTTTTGTATATTACAGAAATCTGATCCCCGAAGTGGATTTAACATCATTCCAGCTGTGACCCAGTTTAAAACTTTCTCTTTGCCTCCTCCTTTAAAGTAAATGTCACAACTTTGTCTGGAGTTTACCGATCAAACTAGTGTTAACTCGGCAGGTTCCAACACTTTCTACCCTCAGCCTGACTAGGGTTCATCTTATACCAGAGACCTGGCCTGGTACAGGCTCAAAGGTTTTGGACAAGGGGCTTCTGCAGTTACAAAGGTGGAGACCTTGTCATCCCTCTTCCTGGAATGTCCTCAACCTGCTCTCCTCAGGAAGGCTTGTTCGAAGCTCTAAAAGGGACACCCCAGCGCTAGAGTTCAGTAATAGAACATTTGCCTAGCAACTCATGACGCAACAATCCAACTGTAGGACGGTAGACACTAGAGACACTAGTCTGCCACTCGCTTCCTGCTGGCATCTGGATGCAGTTCCTGGCCAGTGACCTCCTCCAGCCAGAATCTCTCCTGGAATGCATGCTGCGTGAGGCAGGAATTCTGTCTCACGCCTTGCTACAGCTCCGTGTCTGAGGTCCAGACCCATGAGCAGTGCGCTGCAGGCTCGGCTACTGCATGGCCCGATACCTTCTGTCCCTCCTCCTACCTGGACCTTTGCTGGCTAGTTGCTGAGTGACTTGGGCCATGTTCCACTTGCTGGCAGTGGCCCTGACAAAAGACTGTTAATTCGTCCTTTTCTGAACTTGGTGGCACCCTGTCTACTTGGGAGAATGTTGCCAATTTTGGAAGCTTTTGATTTCATCAGAAAAGATATGTGAGGCAACCAACGAAATAAAAACATAATTGTACTTTATAAAGAGAAAAAGAAACCCTTCAAAATGATCAACTGCCTGTTTATTGCTAGGACAGACAATTGGTTCATTTAATGCCTTCCCAGTATCCTTTTCAAAGCGGCCAGAAATGGGCTCTTATTAAAGGAGTTGTAAGAAGCTGTTATCTGGCATTTAACCAAACTGAGGGCTCTAAAGGGGGAATTTCTGAGATTCTACCAGGACAAATCCCCAGGCTTAACTGGGATGAAGAAGAAGCTAACCACAATCCAAGGAAAGACTGTTATTCAGCAGAGAAGTTTAGAGGGAAGGCCTTATCTGTTCAGAGAACTTAATTTGCCTTACTTTGTGTAAGGAAGGCTTGGTCTCAAAAGGTTATTGCTTGCTGGGCAGTGGTGCATTTTTCATAATGCATTTTATATATCATAGAACCATTCCATAAGCAAAAAGACTTTCTCCTTAGTCTTTAATGCTTTATTACATTTATGATTGTGTGTGTGTGTGTGTCTGTAACACGTGCGACAACAGTCAGAGGACAACCCTCAGTCCATTCTCTCCTTCCACTAGATGAGAACTACAGATCCAGCACTCAGATTGTCAGGCCTGGCAGTAAATGCCTTTACCCTCCAGGCCATTTCACCAGGCCCATTTTCTTTCTTTCCTAAAGAGAGAGAGAAAGACAAGACAGAGACAGAGGAGAGAGAGGCAGAGAGAGAGAGAGAGAAAGAAAGAGAGAGGGTGTGTGTGTGTACATTTGTATTCACATATTTGGAGCAAATGTGTCCGTGCACGTGTGCATTACAGGCTAACCTCAGGTGTCATTTCTTCGTTGCAATCCATCTCATGTTTTTGCAACAGGATCTCTCACTGGAACCTGAAGCTTACTAGCCTGGCTCCCAGGATCCTGTCTCCACCTCCCCAGCAGAGAAGTAAAACTATGTGCCACCATACTTGGCTTTCTGCATCAGTGCACGGATGAACTGAGGTGTGGCAAGCATTTTACTAACTGAACCTGTGTCTCCCCTTCTCTTGTGCAGTCCTGAGAACTCCCAACAATGATCTACAACTGAGTAACACCCCCACAGTCATTGTTAAAACTTACGTTTTACTCTTTGTTCCATGTGGTCTGTCTGCAAGAGGGTCTACTTGTAGAAACCTCTCTGACCTCCCTAAATTTTGTTTGGCTACAGCCTTGGTTTGGGTCTCCTTTCTATTTACTGATAATGGCTCTTAAAACATTTGACATTTCAAAAAGAACCTTCAAGCCTTTAAGCATAGCCAAGTTCAAGAGGTCAAACAACCAGGAGATAAGAGAACAGTCTCGAAGAAAAAGCTAACTTCTAACTTTGCCAGAATGCTGACCAGTTCCAACAGGGCTCATTCTCACTAGGTAGGAGCTGGTAAGACTTTGCTGTGATTTCACTCCCAAACGAAAGGGAAAAGGGGGGTGATTCCCACTTTGGAGTTTCAGTGGCGACCAGGGAAAATCAAAAGATGCGGTGGGGAACACAGAGGAGACAAGGCGTGCTTCGCTAGCACTGCTTAGGATAGAAACTGCTGAGAACCCGGAGCTTCATTACCATTTGGAATGTCACCTGGTACGTCTGGATTTTTCTTGGTATGTGACCATCGACCTTGAGCATTGCTTGATATTTATGACCAGAGGCTGCCTGTTCACGTTCTTTAGCATCAGAGATGAGTTTATCTGGTGTCTAAACATGATTTTTTATTTGGCTTCCATCCCACAACATGGCATACTGAAAAACCATTTTTTATCATTTAAGTCATCTTCCAAATGGGTTCCAAAGATGAGAGAGGGGGATGAAAGGTTACAGGTCACACAGTGACATTTATAAGCAGACTGAGATCATTGTGGCTGGGTGAGGCTGTGCCTCAGAATCAAAGCCCAGTCACATCCCCCGTTGTAAACACACAGCACACTGTGGCTGTGGTGATTATTTTGATGCTGTGATCACTTTAGACTCCCAAACAGTCTTGAAGAATGCTTCCTCTCATTAGGCAACTCTTTGTTTTTACCTGTGGTGATCAAAGACAAAAGGGAAACAATCGGGACGCGGCCTTGAACCAGACCTGTTCTACTTCATGTCATTCAACTTACTTTTTCATTCCACGCCCACAGTCCAATGCCAAGAAATGTTATTCCCAAAAACTGAAAGAGAAAAGAAGGAGATCAGGGTAAGTGTTAGGGAAAACACCACATTTTTACTCATGCAAATAAGTTTTCAATTCATTGCTTTTGCTATATTACTTGATCAGAAAAACAAAACAGACAAACAAAAACCCCAGCTTTCTTTAAAATCTGAGTTAATTAGGAAAAAAAATACCATTGTCTACTTGCTTAAAATTATTATAACATTGAGAAGAGGTGGGGACCCATAGGTGCCCGAAAGCCCTTCAAATCATGAATTTTAATCTTTAGGTAGATCTTGAATGAAATAAACATTTAAAAAGTAGAGAGGACGAGTGTGTCCAGCAGTCTGAGGCACCAACCATTAGATACAGACGTACAGCGCATGCATTTAGAGCTATGTTGTTCTCTGCCCACTAAACCATATAGAGAGGACCTGGTAAGAGAGGGAACATAGGAGCCCCACGTCCTCTGACAAGCCCCTCATCACTCCTCCAGAGGCAATGTAATCCTATCAAGTTCAATGTGATCCCAAATAATCCTCAGATTGTTCGTTTTGTTTCTTGGCAATGAAAACTGAATCTCCAAGGGCCTCCATCATGCTCCCTAGTCTAAACTAAGTCAACTCCATGCGTAACGTGGCACACGCGTTCACATGCACAGTGAATTAAGGCAGCTCTGTCAGTTAGCCACACTGAGGCTGGGAGGGCAGCGATGAAGCAGGCAGTGATGGCGGGAAGGGCTTTCCACTTTAATTGGTTCTCACTGTATCCTGTCTGCTCTGAGATACACATTCTCCCCTTTACATTTTTAACATCCCTGAAATTGAAATACCCGTGTGTCTTATAATTGGGGTGCTAAAGATTGGGTGACAACAGTACAGCGCTGTGCACTCCCTGAGAAGCAGGACCAGGACACAGCATGCCTGGACTCAACAGACACTCCTTTCCAAACACTGAAATGGTGGGGGTGGGGTGGCACACGGTTTCAGTCTGACAGTGTAAGAAGGCTGTTTATTTTACTAACATCTTGATTAAGCTAAATGTCAGAAAAAACTCTCTGCTGAGAGGGTCTGAGAAGACACAATGGTGGGGGTGGCTCTTCTTCAGTTTCGGGGCAGTCTGAGGATCCCGTCCACCCAGCGAGATCTTGTCATGCACAGGAGGGAGTTACTGACACTCGAGAGGCTGGGGACAAGAAATCCAAGTGGAGAAAGAGAGGGGGAAAAGGGTAATCCGGTACTCCGAGATGTGGTCACATTTAAAAGAACAGAGCTTCCCAAAGCTAAAGAAAAGAAAAAGACATTAAATAAGAGAGTGCACCCACAGAAAAGCTTCAAGGTTTACAAAAAGAAAGTCTTTCTTCTTCCTACTGTTGCTCCAAGCGAGCTACTTAAAAAGTGCTGTCCTGGTTAGCTTTCTATAGCTGTGATAAAACACCATGACCAAAATCAACCTGGGGAGCAAAGGGTTTATTTGGCTTATACTTCCACATCACAGCCCATCACTGAAAATAAGGCAGGAACTCAAGGAAGGCGCCTAGAGGCAGGAACTGATGCAGAGGCCAGCGAGGGATCCTGTAGACTAGCTTGCATCTGCATCTCTGCACTGCTTGCTTAGCCTGCTTTTTCATACAATCTAGGAACCACCTGCCCAGTGGTGGCACCGTCGGCAGTGAGCTGGGCCCTCCCACATCAATCACAAAGGCCTCCACAGGCTCACCTACGTAAGGGTGCTACAGACCATTTAGAGAGCCATTTTCTCAACGGAGAGTCCCCATTCCCAAATGATTCTGGCTTGTGTCAAGTCAACACAGAACTAGCCAGCACAAGTGCTTAGAAACATTTCTTGTTTTCTAACACCCCATGGGGAAAAAAAAAAAAAAACTACGGTCAGCCCTTCTACTACCTTGGCCAGTGAGCTATTTCATTTTATGCTTCTGCTATAAAACAATTACAAAGTACAGCAACAAAACAACTCGGCGTGCTAGTGCCATACTCACAGGTGCTAGACAAAATACAGTCATAACTGACAGGTAGATGGGAAAACAGAGGACACAGTCGAGCCAGGAATGCTCCAGAGGGCAGAGCTCAGTGCTACAGGAGATTGAAATCAAATGCACCCCAGGGGCAAACAGCTGACCTTCTGAGGCTAAGGCTCTCTGTGGACAACAGTTACCGTCCCTGGTGCAGCAGCGGTCAACTACCTGTCCCGCTGCTGAGCCAGGTGGGTGCATGCCTGACCCTGCCAACCACTCATGCTCTTCTTTGGGTATGTGCCAGGCTCTGGGCGTCCTGTGTTGGAGGCAGTGTCTTTTTTTTTTTTTTTTTCACAGTAGTTCTCCTTTTGAAATTGGCACTATAATGGCCTCCTTTTGAGCAGAGATTCTGACTTAGGGTAAGTGTTCTCACCAGTGAATTCCCATTCCCTACCTGAGATGGCAAAGGGATTGCATTCAGGGCAGACTCTTACGAGATAGCCAGGACACTGCGTGTCTTGAGGACAGCAAGCAGAGAAGGTGCTAAAGAGATGGGTGCCCACCTACAGTCTCAACACTTATGAGGTAGAGGTGGGAGGATCGGGAGTTCCAGCACAGCTTTGGCTGAGAGACTCTATCTCCAAGAAGAGATAAATGGTTGCCTTCACGCCAGGACTGAGTGTGGAGGGACATTCTCCATGCCAGTGTTGACCACTGGAGGAACGTGAGAAATTTGGCTGGATTGGTAGGATGAGGGCTTTCTGCTCTTTATCTAGTTCTGCTTTCTCTGCTTGGCACTTTGGGGAAAAATTTTTTTTTCTTTCTTTCAAGAACCAGAATAAAAAAAACTGGGAAGATATGGTTTTCAACAGAGGAGAAACATAAGGAGAGAGAGAGAGAAAGAGAAATAGAGAGTCAGAGAGAGTCACAATTTCCTTTACAATTTTGCCTCAATGTTTCTTGCTTTGACTTGTGTCTTTCCAAATGAGGGTTTGAGAATTTGAAAACAATGGGAAATGTTCCGTACCTAAGTGAGTAAATGGCACTGGGCAGGGCCTCTCCCCGCTGCATATCTTCAGCACTACATCAGCAGAAAACGTCCTCTGGACTGTTCTCAGCCCATATGTTTTGTTTTAAAATCAAATTGTTCCAGCTCCAAATAATTAACTGAGAAGAGCCAAAACTCAGAAGGCAGGCTCGCAGCACTTGAAGCAGCTTCCCCTTCCCACTTCCTGAAGGAAAGGCGCCCAGAAACCCCAGGCTGACCTCACTCTGGAACCCAGAGAGACTGTTGTAGAGGAAGCCTGGGAACCTGTCGCTCTCCCGAGAGGGAATCAAAACCAAACCCGAAACACATCCCACACAGCAGTGTATGCAAATGTTGGCACAAATGTCTGCCCGAGAAACCGTCGAGGTTGTAACAATGAGTAACGATACTTTTGTCAAAATTTGTTGGATCCTAAATACGAGCTGAGACAGTATTTTCATTTCTGTTTCTGGGTATGGGGGCCAACTCTGAGCCTCTTACACAGCGAAGCAGGTGTCCTTCCCTAGGCTGTACTCTCAGCCCCTAGACACTAGATTTAATTTTTTTCATACATATATACAATAAGTCTGTGTCATATCCACCTCAAACTCCCTCCCTCTTATTCCCCCAGGACACCCTCACTCACACGTGTCTCTTCCATCTCCATATTCTCCCCTTTTCTTTCATTAATAATTCTCTAAGTCCAGTCAGTGCTATCTGCATGAGTTTATGCTATCCTAGCAGCCCTCAATTGCCACTGGCGCCTCAGGTACCGATGGAGCTTCACGAACCTTCCCCTCACCCAGGCTGAAATTTCTGGACTTGGCGTGATCCTGTGCAAGCCCTTTGCAGGTAAACACAGCTGCTCCGAGTTCCTAAGCTGCAGTACCACGTCAGGTCTAGTGCACAGGAGACAGTATCTCACAGCACTCGTCCCTACCTCCTGGCTCTGACGTTCCTTCTGTTCCCGCTTCTGGGAAGATCCTTGAGCCTCAGGGAGATTTATGTAGCTGTCCTGTTTAAGGCTGAACACATGCTCAACAGTCTCTTATTCTTGGCATTTTGACTGGCCATAGGGCTCTTCACTGACTATTGCTTGCTACAAAGAGAAGCTTCCCTGATCAAAGTTGAGAGTATCACTAACCTATGGATATAAGCCTATATATTTAGAAGGGAGTTTGGTAACATGTCTCTTTGCCAGAACAACAGTAGCACGTCGCCTCCAAGGACCCTATGACCACCATAGCCACTGGCTTTTGACCAGACATTAATTCTCTCCATACGGCAGGCCTCAACGGTAATCAGAAAGCCGCTGGTTGCTTCTGTGACAGTCATGCCACTATTGCACATTCTTCTTGTAAGGTTGGTATTGAAGCAGTTAGGGCTCTCCACGGGGCAAGTGCACTAATAACTTTCCTCCCCAAGCAGCCTGCACAGAACCTCTGTCACTGTGAAACGTAAACATTAGTAAAAAGACCCAAGTCCCAGCTTGGTTTCTCTGTGTCCTCAGCCAAAGCCATACTGGATCTTGAGCAATCAGGTCGTATCACTAAAAGAAAAAAAATGTTTTAAGTTTTTGTTTGTTTGAGACAGACCTTATCACATATCCTTGGCTGGCCTGCAATTTGCTTTGCAGACTATCTAGCCTTGAACTCACAAGGATCCGACAGCCTCTATCTCCCAAGTGCTGGGGTTAAAGGCACGTGGCACCATGTCTAGCCACAAGATACTGTTTTTAATATAAATCTGCAGAAACACCAGTAATCACCTGAAAGGCAACTAGTTCAAACTCATATACCAGGTTCAAAGATGTAATAGGACTGAAAGGAGTATACAATATTCCCTTAATTGCTGTTTTGCTATTTGTTCTATGTTGAAATGTAAACATTCTTTTCTCTTTTAAGCATAACTCTTGGAAAATATATTAGTAGTTCACATTAAATTACATTCGTGCGGAATAATGTTCACCTAAAGCATCCCATACCAATGCCATGCAGTAGGTATCTTAGATTCGCTT